TTTCAGCTGAGTTCAGTGTCCGCAGCTGAAATCAGTGGATGCAGCAGTTACTCAGATCCTGGGAAGATTTACATTCATATATTTCAAACAGGACAGTCAGACACTGAGCCGCCTTCAGAGCTAGTGGGCAAGTTTGAAAAGCCCGGTCATGGTAAGTGAGTGTAGACTGAGACAATAGTTGTTTCACTGATTCTGGGAATCTTTTTCTCTGATTTGGTGCTGTCTGGTTTAGACTAGAGAAGAAAATGTGAAAATCGAAACACCCAGCTTCACTATGAAAGCTGCGCACATTTAGCTTTCTAATTCTTAAAAGGATATGAAAAAACGTCTGCAAAAGCTGTTATGACAGATGTCTGTCATTAATTAAACACTTGAAGCAAACATGAAATCCACAGCACAAAGTGATTTCTAAGGATGGGATTTAAAAAAGGCTCTGCGTTTTGTCTAACCTGTTCCAAATAACACAAACAACTCGGTTTTGAGTTTGACAGATGCAAAGTGCTTTAAAAATATCCCACAGAAGACACCAATCAATAGTTTAAAAGTACCCTACGTGTGGGCCTTCTGCATGCATTCTGTAAACATATACTCGAGTAGCATTGCTGCATGCTTTGTGTTAATATTATTTCATTGTGGTTATTTCTTAACGTAGCTTCATGCAATATTGTAATGTGAGGTTTTGTGTCATTTGAACCTCCCCCTCAATGTTTTTACAAGTGCTGTGATTTTTCAGATCATAAGAAAACACTATTAGATACAGGTGTGTATGTGTGTTTACCTAAAGAACAAATTGATTCTTCAAACTGACATAAATCAGTCTATTGCAACAAGGTTTCTAGAGTCATTACAGTTTAAAGAGATCAGCAAGAATTAAGCCTATTGCTTTCATTGCAAAGCCTCGTTCCATAAATAATCACTTTGATTTCAGTGCCCGTTCAGCATGTGCAGTGGTATCAGAGGCCAGCTCTCGTCCAGGAACTGAGTATGTGCATATGAGCTGATGATGCAGAGTGCTGAGCACTTCTGTGAAGACTACAGACTTCCAGTGTTCAGCAGCTTGATGGATCAGACTTACAGCTCATAAATCTTTATGAAGCTTGGCAGAGGTGAGGGACAGTCACGAGCTGGGGTTAGGAAAGCATGGTTTAATTGCATGAAATATAAAATAGAGGAAAGATTCAAAAACTTGGAATCAATTACCTGGCAGTGACAAATCACCTCTGGAGAAAGAGGGGAGTAACAAGAAAGGGGAAACGAGAGTGGGAGATGATGATAAAAACCGTTGCAGCACTCTAATTTGGCATCACCCCATAGATACTGTGCAGTTGGTATCCTGAAATGTCTCCGAGTCTCTTCTCTGCTGAAATTGCAAGTCTCTATGTAAACCTGCTTCCTTACTTAGACTGAGCAACCTTGTGTTTGTGTGTTACGTTTCATTTTACATGGGTGGTGGCCTCACCCATGCAGTTTGTGAGACCGCAGCCCTCCCCTGCTCTCATGTAGTGTCATCGCATGCCATGGCTGTTATTTGCACATCTTCTTCCCATGCGCATCTGGGCAAGTTGGGGACGGCAGGAGGTTTTGACTTGGTCGAGCTCACAGGGAGCACTGAGAGAAGGACACATTTCCTGTCTCTCACTCTTGGGTTCAATCTGCTAGTGTTCAGCAGCTGCCGTGTTCATCCTACCTCATGCCTGGTTAGAAGCATGAGTAGATGAATTTCTTCATCGTGTTAACATGCTACAGTCTCCTCACCTTTCCTTGTGCTGTTTCAGGCAAATACACATGCTTGCCACTGAATATTAAAGAAACACCATGAGGAGGTCAGAGCAAAGCTGTATCCTGTCTTCTGCACTGATAGTGCTTGGCAGCAGGGGCTAAAGGAGTACAATAAAGCCCTGGATATCAAAGAAGTCCCCAGAGGTACCTAGAGCTGCTGAGCCTGACCTGTTAGAGTGAGGTGAGTTCAGTCGCTGGCCACTTCTCCCACACAGACCAGGCCAGAACTGGTGGCTAGTATGAGGAGATGTGCCACCATCCCCTAGAAGTCTGTCTGGTTTAGCCTTTCCCTCACACAGTGTCTCAGTCAGTTGTAGGTGGTTAACTGGCCATAGGTGGGCTAAAACAGGAGAGAAGAGTTGGGATCATCTCCAAGAGTGCACAATCTCTTTGGATAGGCTTTGTAGCCTGTGTCCTGTGTAGCAGCACTGCAGTGCTTGTAAGGAACTGGGGGCCTGAGCAGGCAAGAATTCTTGCCTTGGTAGGCAAGAGTTCAGCCCTGGTGATTTGTCTCTAGGTTTACGCAGACAACTTTCCTCATATCAGTCACACAGGTGTGGACATTTATCAGCAGATGAACACAGTTTTGAGCAGTGTATCCCAGGATAAATCAAAAGCTACCCACTTTGTCTGCTCTTTTTGGGGAGGCTAGGAGTTGCATTAGGTTTTCCTAACAGAATTGCTGTTTTACTCATCCTCATGCTAGAGGAGAAGAGGTTTAGTGGACTGCCATCAGTATCAAATGCCCCTTGTCATTCTGACTCCGAGAAGTCGAGCAGTTAAGTTTTTTTTTTTTATTTATTTATTTGAAAGATATAAAAAAAAAGCTCCTGAACAGCCAATTGCTCTGGATAAGCACTGACTATCCTACGCCACAGCACAGAGGATATTCTAGAAGAACTTGTGTGATAGCAGGGCATCAGGCAAAATCTGAACACATATGCCTTTGCTTTAGAACCCCTTCTCAAAGCTTACCTCCCTTCTCTCTTATCACTTTCCAGATTCAATTGCACTGCACCTTCTGCTCTGCCTTATCAATAAAGAGCTGTCATCACACATCTCTGTCAAAGCAAAAGAGCAAACTGTTGTCAGCAGATATGCGTACAGCAGCCCACTAGCTAAAGTGACATTCCCAGTGACTCCTTGATAACCAATCCTTAGAGAAAGTTGCAGGAATCAGTTATGAAACACTTGATAGAAAAATAGGAATATATCTATAAAAACAGTGAACTAATAAAGCACTATTAAAAAAATTCTTGTAGCTGTTTCAGCATCTCTATTCTGTGGGAGAGAGTTAAGGGTTAAGCCTTTCATTTTTTTACTGAGAATTGATTATTTTTATTTAACAAACTATAGTTGGTGATTAGATGCAGTGATTAGTGTCTTACATGGAATTTTCTTTTAAGTGGTTGCTCAAAATAACAGACAGCTGCAAGAAACTTTAGGTTTGTACTGGTGAAACTGTCTAATTCCCACAGCGCTTCTTTCTCTGTGATCTGTGCTGTTGGATTTTTTTTTTTTTTTGTCCAGCCAATCGAGCTGGATTTTTCTTTTAATGCTGTTTATAGGAAATGTGCTATTTTTCCTATTTTAACACATTCCAATAGCTACTCTGCGCATCCATTTCCTGACCACAGATTAACACAGTAGCCATGTAATTACACTTTTTATTTTCCACTATTTAGGAAAAATATTAAAAATAAGAGCAACTGAAAATTACCTCCTTAAAAATTTCTATTCCTGTCTTTGATTGACACATCCACCTTGAGCTAAATGTGTTTGACTGTAGCCAAATCAATCCATTCATCATGTGGCAGTGTACTGCCTCCAGTACTGTTCCCCATTCATCCAATCTGGGAAAATTAAGATGGTGTGTATAAATATACATTTTTAAGCAGCTACGAATACTGATGTTATCTAAGGATTTAGTCTGTTATCATGGAGGTCACTGAGACCTTTGCTACTGCTAGCTGCAACAGCAGGATCAAATCTTAGTCTTAATCCTACAAGCATTATACAGACCAGTTTTTTCAGGGAAAGTTTTCCCTTCGTCATGGTCTGCAGGCATTAGCTCCTATGGAGACTTTTCTTTATTTGCAGTAAAGATCTGTGGCTTATTATGTTCCAAAATAACATAATTCACATACAACATGTCTGTGCATGCACATGCATGTATGTGTGTAGTACCTGATGGATGCATAATAGAATAATCTTTCTAGTAAATACTGCAGTTTGTACTGTATTTGCATTTTTTAAACATAAGAATATAGAAAACCTTCTCTTCACATTTCAGGAAATGATATTTGGTCCTTTATGCCAACCAGGCTATCCTGTACATTCTGTTGCTAGTAACTAAAATAAAAGCATAGAACTATTTTACAAAAAGAAAGATTAAAGTGCATAAGTACATAGATAGGTGCAGATCCTGCTATGAGCTCCTTTGAAGCAGACATGCTCTGTCCAATGTCAGGAATAGCTGGTTTAAACAGAACAGTTTAGTGCAAATTACTGCTTCTGCTGGCAATCCGTGGCCTTCCCATATGTACATGGCCTGGTCCTATAGACCTCCATGTGCAGTGTTCCTCTTAACATTGCACATGGTTTACAACTCTTTGAGCCTGCAGAATTGGGCCCAGATCAACCAAGGTACCTTTGGAAGCAAAAATTTTCTTGACTGCCAACTAATAAATACATTCAAAACAAAATACATCCATTTTGCATGCATCTATTTTCAGAGCTATGTTAAAAATGGACTTGGAGAAGACTTCTCAACAAAGAAACCAAAGGATAGGGAATCCACATTGAAAGGGCAAAGAGATGTCTGCATAGTGCGATGAGCTACTAAGCAGGTTCCCTGGGTGCATTCCTTGCCTTTCTAATGTGCAAAAACGTTTATCTCGGTTTGTTCTTAATATATTTTTCTTTGTATAGCTGTGTTTATATAGAGAGATAGATTTTGCATGGGGTGAAGATTCTTCAGAATCAGCTATTTCATCTAGTTCAGGGCTTTGTCAGATTAGCCACAGCTCATTTCAATCCTTTGAGTTTTAATTTATTTACAATATTTTGTGCTTTTGAACTTTTTCTTTTTGAATAATGTCCAAGAGAATTCCCCTACAGATCTACAGCCATGATCTTTTGGAAAATGTGGTCATTTTGAGATGAGTAATAGAAGTTCTCTGTTTCCTAATACAATTTCATCAATTTGTAGATACTTTTTATTACGGCTCTAGATTAAAAGCTCTTAACAGAATGTCTAGATCACCCACATTGGCAGCTTGAAATAGTTCTGGCTGGTCCATCATAGACAAAGCAATTCGAAGTGCTGCCCAAATATTGCCTGACAGAGCAGGATGGGGAACCTGTTGTTGATTCCTGCTCTTTCTTTGCAAACTGAGAGCAGTGAGAAAATTGCTGACAGCCTCTCTGTAGGGAAGAAGAAAAAAGAAACAAGCAATATAGTTTGCTTAACAACTAGGATAAAACTTTTTAAAGTTCCATGCCAGATTCAAGTATATTATTTTACAGCACACATTAGTCTCTTTGTGTTATTTTTGCTTGATTTTCTTTAAACGAGTGGATGTGGCTTGTAGTAATGCAGAGCTCAGTCTATTCGTACATCTGAGGATACTGTCTTCATTGCTGTGTAGCTCCCCTTCATCTTAACTGTCTTAAGCTGACAGTTGGGACCCTAGCATATCCCCCTTGATTCCTGAAGGATGTACTGAAAGTGTTTTTGATTACATTAGCTGCTTGAAGCAATTTAACTGAAGTTTCCCTTCTAAAGACAGGCTCTTATATTTTCTTTTAGAAAAGCTCTTAAGCACAGGACTCTTTAAATGTCAGAACAATCCCGCTGATTATAATAAGAGTACTTGCACTTAGAGTTAAAAAAATGCTTAAGCAGTTTGCTGCTTAATTTTACAATAGCTGAGATTATGTAGTTATAGTCTGATTTTTTTTTATTTCTTAGATAGCTTCAGCTAGAAAATGCATTTTGACTTGGTAGTTACGATGCCTGACTTTTTTGTTTACACATTTTTGTAACTTACCTGTATGCCCCTAGGTTTATGCAGCTTATTCCTAAATTGTATCTGGACCTAATGAAGCCAGGCTGTATTTCTAAAGCACGTGTGTAGGCCTCAACAGCTTCTTCACTTCGATCCCCATTTGCCAAGGTTGCTCCAAGACGGTTCCATAACGTATAGTCCTGGTGAGAAAATGAGTATTCTACTGCAGGTGTCAAAAGGGACATAATAGCTCATTTTTGCTTGCAAAGTAAGGAGGACTGCAGAAAATAACAGTGCTATATCTTCTCTTAATTGACACGGAATGTGAGGTTCTGGCTCATGATTATAGGCAACTTTATATAACTAGTACAGTTAATCAGCACACAGCTAGAAATTGGGCATGTATAAATCTGCTTCTAAATGGGACTGTCTTGTAATTAACATTTCTATTTCAGGTATTAAAATTTTAATGGCGGAAGTGACATCTCATTAATATTAGCCTGATCAAGAAAGGAGAAAGAAAATGGCCTGTAAAGATAAATACATAAAAATATGAAAGCATAAAATGTACCTCTGGCCGAACAGTTAAAGCAGCACTAAATGCATCTATTGCTCTGTTAAATTCTCCATTCAGGTGGAAAAGAACTCCAAGTCCCGTCTGCAAGTCAGGGTCTATCATATCACCATTCTGGTGAGCAGCCTCCAGGTACAAATCCTTTACTTCTTCAAGTAACGAGCTAGACAAGGGTGAAAAATAACTTAAAGTTCCATCTTACAGTTCTTTGCAAACATTGCGATGTTGATGGTGTAGCCAGAAATTAAAATCCTTGTAGTGGATGTATCAGAAGTGCTATACTCCTAAAATTTTAAAACAAGCTTCAGCTTCATCATGGCAAAGATGTACTTGCAGGTGCTGTTGTGAACTCATGTCTGGAATAAAAAATGTTCACCTATATAATGAAGAGAACAGCTCCTGTGTGGAGTGGCTGAGGGAACTGGTGGTGTTTAGCCTGGAGAAAAGGAGGCTCAGGGGAGACCTTATTACTCTCTGTAACTACCTGAAAGGTGGTTGTAGCAAGGTGGACGTTGATCTCTTTCCCAAGTAACAAGTGACAGGATGAGAGAAAATGGCCTCAAGTTGCACTAGGGGAGGTTTAGATTGGATATTAGGAAAAATTTCTTCATCAAAAGGATTGTAAAGCACTGGAACAGGCTTCCCAGGAAAGTGGTTGAGTCGCCATCCCTGGATGTATTTAAAGGACATGTGGATGTGGTGCGTGGGGACTTGGCAGTGCTAGGTTAATGGTTGGACTCCATGATCTTAAAGATGTTTTCCAACCTAAATGATTCTATGATTCT